CTATCGCATTGCGAACTTGGACTATCGCAATGCGAACTTGGACTATCGCAATGCGAATATGTAAATCGCGTTGCGATAGTCGAAGTTCGCGTTGCGATTTTCTAAATTCGTTGCGATAGTCCAAAATCGCAACGACTGGTGGTATTGCATTTGTTTCTTAAGAATTTTTTCTAAAAAGATAGTATTCGCGCGGACGTGTCGAAGACACGTATTACTACGACCACAACCACGACCACGACCACGACCACGAGACGAACGACGGCGGTGGCGCGCGAGAGTCCCCCTTGTTCTCTATCACTCAACAAGGAAGTGGGAAAGCCAAACCTTAAATACCATTCCCAATAGTGTTTCCAATACTATGTGGGATTGAGCATTACCAACACTTGTTTCCAATACAATGTGATTATTCAGGAAACAATTAACAATCATGCACCTTAAAACAACTGAATCAACAACCAATTGCATTAGTATTATACGATTAAATATGTCATAATTAAAAGTCAATCTACAATCAATCGCGATTATTGCAATTTTAAGCAAAACATTCAAAAATAATATCATTATTTAAGGCTCAATCCCACATAGTGTTGGGAACAAGTGTTGGTAATGCTCAATCCCACATAGTATTGGAAACACTATTGGGAATGATATTTAAGGCTTGGCTTTCCCACTTCCTTATTGAGTGATAGAGAACAAAGGGGACTCTCGCGCGCCGTCGCCGCCGCCGTCCGTGTCGGGTCGGGTCGTGGTCGTGGTCGTGGTCGTGATAATATGTGTCTTCGACACGTCCGCGCGAATATTATCTTTTTAGAAAAAATTTGGAATAAATTTTTATGTTTGGTTGGTTTAGCAGGGAATAAGATTACTGGGAATGTTGTATTTTATGTTTGGTTGGTTTAGCAGGAATGTAAGATTACCGTGTTTGGTTAAAGGAATAAAAGATTATTGAAATGTATATTTTACCAAATTGTCCTTATTATATATTTGTATAATATTACAAATTGTAAAATATTTATATATTTTCTTTAAAAAAATTAAATTCATAATATTTATATAATTTTTTTACAAAATTAAAAATATAAAAAAGGTTTAATGAAAGGGTAAAATTTTTTTAACCCGGAATTTCATATAAAATTTTAATTATAGACTTGTTTTTGTAAATCTAAAATAATTTAAGGATAAATTTGTAATTTAACATTCGTAGAATTTTTATTATTCAATGACAGAAGAATGATATTTTTGAAAAAAATTAAAAATTTAAGGGCAGTTTATTCCAAAACGCCGGTAATGTTACAATACCTAAGGGAATGGAGGTAATGACATTCCCGGTAATATACCCCAAAAAATCTACTATTGGTAATAAAACATTACCGGGAATGAGATTCCCAGCCAACCAAACATGAGAATGTGGGAATCCCACAATCATTGAACCAAACACCCCCTTATAGTTATAACATAAAATAAAAAAATGAATTCCAACAAGATTAAACGTACACTAGTCCAGAAGAGAGTTTCGTAGGGATGAATTTAAGGGGAGCGGATGAGGGCAGTCATCACCCTAAAAAAATTTAAAATCATCATATATTTTGAATTATTTTATGTATTTTCTAATAAAATTTTGTTTTCGTCCCTTTTAAAATTTTATAAGTTCAAGTTTACCTTATGTAATTTTATAAATTTAAGTTCACTACTAGTTTAAAATCATCAGTATGTCCTTGGTTCCTAATCCCATCAGCATTTAGCTTGTACCAACCCTGCGCTGGTGGTGACCACATGATCAAACACCGATTGTTGACTGCTCGACAAAGATTAAAATCCGCCCGCTCTTTCATAGTATGTAGCGCCTCTTGATGGAGACGCAAACTTTGTTGAACGACACTATCAATGATGTGAAGGAAGGAAGGAAGAAGAATCAATGATGTGAAGCGTGTGTAGATCCATCTGGTATCAGAAAACAACTCTGAAGAAATTTCAAAATAAAATCACATGCAAATAACTTTATTCAAATCATTTAAAATGAGAGCAGCAAAAAAAAAAAAAAAAACCTTAGCTTGAGTGATTGCATCATCCACCTATTTTCTCACTTCCTTCTCGATGTCCTGAAAATTTTTTCCCAATATTTTGATGATGGCGTTACCACAAACAACCCCCTAACAACATTTCAATTCGGAAGTTTCATAAATGAAACTTAAGTAAAGTACCTTCAACTCTTTCTCAGTAGCTAGGTCATGGGATAATATCAGCTTCCTAATTCTTTCCATTGGATCACGCTCCCAGAAATATAACATCTAGAGTGTCAGTTTTATAGTAACTTGATAAAAATACAGCATGAAATATCCAACATTTAATGAATGAGTCCTTGCAAAAGTGATGTGAATTATCAACCTGTCTAACACCACTAATCTCATCACGTGCTCTATAGGTGCTTCCAGGATCAGACATGGAGTGACCATGATACCTATAGGTGTCCATTTCAAGAATCTGCATAGAATCAAAATCTATAATGCAATAACATATAAAAATAGTAGGAGATTTCAAAAGAGAAGTAGCAGCAAATAAAAAGGACTTCTCAGATAATCAGATAAAATGCAACATCATAATCTAAAAGGCCACAACATGCAGAATCATACATCTTTAGGCAACAAATAGAATACAGTTTTTACACCTTTAAACTGATGTGAGTTACAGGATTATAGACAATTCTTTACTGCAGCTTATAGCATCTTCTAGCTTCGAAATTACAATATACTCATTTATTTAGTTAATATTAAAAAGTTACAGGGGCAAAGCATCTGAAACAAAAAATCTAGTACCAACATGAAACAAGCTATTGTTACCACACAATTAAGCATTAGAGAGCTTTAGAATACTTTCCCATGGCAAGCATCCTGGGAGTTGCATGCAGGGATCATCCTATAAGTCCCAACTTATTTTACAACATTATGCTAGTTTTGCGTCATTAACAGAAATGGAAACTCAAAAAGAATGCTTAATTAGAGAAGTTGAAGGATCGAATATCAGCTGAAGGATAGGTTATCCACACAAAAAAAAGGAATTATTTGACAGTGCCATACAACACATCCTCGGAGCCTAATTAGAGAAGAGGTTGATCACAAGTATCTCACATTGAAGATTTGTGAATCACATAAAACACCAGTAAAATAGTAAAAATGCTCAACTTTTCTGTAATGTTTGGAAGTTATGTTTACCCTTGACCATAACAAATTTACACCTAGCTTTTCATGCCATGAAGATTTTTCAAGCATTTTTTCCAATGTTTGTTCAGGATACGCTCTACTATGTTTCAGCTTGTCTATGGTGCTATTCATTTTGAACCAGATATGATAACTCGCAGTTATGAAGCAGATTACTTGGAATTTGAGGGCCAAAACCAGGATCCACAAGTTAAAGGCAATTCAGAATTTTTCTGTAAGCCTATAAATGGGGGGTGATTTATACAAACTGGATAAACAGAAAGCATACTTTGTTGCAAGGATAAATGATTCAATTTATGTAGATAAGGTTAAGCTTCCAAGGTTGTATCTCAGGTAGCACGTACTGCTACAAAGTTTTAATAGCTACAAAACACACATTATTCCAGCTTCCTAATACTACTTATTTGCTTCACACATAGACCTTAGACCAAAAATATCAGTACTAAGACCATTGAGAGAAGTAGAAAGAAGAAAATGAAATAGAGAAGACGATAAATTTCTCCTGCTTGGATAATCCAAAGAAGATAAGAGATTAGTGCCAACTTATCATCCATTCACTTTTTAAATTCCTATAAGCATGCCCCAGTCATATTTCTTCAATTTTGATTTCATCTTGATCTTTCCCGTAACACTTCACTCACTATCTAAATAACTAAAGGCAAATAGAAAGATATATTTTTGCTTTCTGTTTCTCTTATACTCTACAAATAAATAGAAAAATATAATTTTGCCTCATTTCCCTTTTATACTCTTGCTTTATCCAAACATGCTATTGTCAAAATGGGACAGTACCAGGCTACCAGCGATCGTTGAAACTCTCAACACCCGCCTCCTCCGATGAGCAGCCGACTACGGCGGCACACCTGTTTAGTTGCCAGGCCGTGTCAAGTGGGGATAACAATAGCATCATCAGCGTTGCTTGAAAGTTAACATGAAGAATATATGGGATATAGTAGCAAGTTGTTACCTGGAGCTGTATTATGACAAGATTGAAAAAGAGATGAGATTATTAAGTAATTACCTTGTTCTATACAGATTTATTATTACTTAATTAGAGTAGTCGAAAGAAAGTGGAGTGTCTTTGTCTTTGACGTTTGTAGATGATCGGCTGCTATTCTTCTCTACTCGTCTGTCTTGGATTTTGTTTCTCTCGAATTTTCTTTTAAATAATTTGAAATAATTATAAAGTAATATTTATTTAAAAAAATTATTTGGGAAGTTAATTCACAATCCCCAAAATGATGGAACAACGAACATATTAGTTAAAAAATTTCTTAAAAGTTGTATAATGTCTTTGAACTTTATCGAAAACTTTGTTCAGTCAATTAAACTCTTTATTATATTATGACTGAATATAAAATATAAACTATCACATTAATATAATGAATCATCATATCAACAATAACAATATTTATTAATTAAAAAATTAAATTACTTTTTCTTTAATTAAAAAATCACACTAAATGCAAAATAAACTCAAAAGACATACTTTTTCTCTTCAAAAATTAAACTGTACTTAGCCTCCGATGCCACCCAACGCGTTCATGCAAATCAAGAACTTACCAATGGATGGATATATTTTCCTTTTTCTTCTGGATACATGCACATAAATTTTATATATTTTCCATTAACTTGAAAGACTTCCGATAAAGATAACAACAAATATGATTTTTTAATCAAAACAAATAACTAATTAATTTAACATAACAAACACAATTAACTTTGTGGGCTACATACGAAATAAGTAAAAATCCATTACCTATCCTGGAAAGTGCAAAATTACAGTAACACGGAGATATAAAATGTTATTGCTGCTTCCCTCACTTCTTGTAAGAAATATACAAAGACAAGAGGCTTCATCAGTACTGGCTATGGGATTCTTAAGCAAATTAACAAACTCCGATTTAAAGAATGAATCATGTCGTCGATGAACCTCAACTTACTTAAACCCACAAAAGCTTCTCGCTTCGAAACAGGGGCTAGAAACAGCTACAGCAGAAATATATATATATATATATATATATATATATATATATATATATATATATATATATTAGGAAAATCACAAAAATAATCCGGAGTCTTACGTGTGTTGTCCGGCTCAACTTGCCGGGGTGCCGGATCGAACTGAAGGAAATTTTGTTCCATATTCTCCCCGATCTCTAGAATTGCAGCCATGTTCCCGCATCGATAACAGTAGTTTGGGGCACTGAAGACAGTTACCACGTTCTTCTCCTGGAGGATATCAAATGATATGTTAATGTTATAATACTAATTACGATGTTAAAAATATATATAAAAGCAAACATTGTTGCAAAACCAGGCTAAACTGTTTCCATTTTGGGTTTCACACCTGACACCAATTGTATCCTTCCATCACGAGCTGATGGGCTCTTGAAATCAGACTTAGACCATTGGTATGGTTGAACTGGGCTGCAATATCTTGTCCGAATGTGTAACCAGCACCTCGCGGAGATATGCCCCATCCACAGCGGTCATCGGGATCGGACCACAAGAGATCACACATTGGTCCTTCGTGAGGAACCTAACCATGGATAAAATAAATCCCACACAAATGAACCAATCAAACAATCATAGCGATCGTAAAATTTCAAATAATGCATCATCTGAGGCAACTTGATTACAATTTCAGTTCCATCCTCGACACCAATGGAATTGATAACAATTGCAATACTAAGATCCCAATTCTTGGCCATTTTATCAACTATCCTCACATTCATAATTTAACAAGTCTTCACTTGTGTAACAGTTTGTTTAAGTTTCAAAGTACAGGCAAATTAGCAGTACGACCTGTTGGACATGGACCAAAGTGATTAAGAAAAGTTGAGAGGGTCACTTATATGCATACCTCTTGTATACGATCCAATGCTCGAACATTGTCTAGTGTGTCCAGAGATGGTGAAAGTCCTCCATGCAAACAAAAGATCTGTGAAGTCAAATTCTATGGCTGTCATAAACTGTAAAGATGTTAATCAACTTAAAACACTCTAATAAAACTTGAAGTCGAACCTGACTCTCAATAAGAGCTGTGAGGGGTAAATAATCAAACAGGTCTGTAAAATGCTTCCATACATTGGCATTTCCATATTTTCTCAAGCATTCATCATAAAAACCATATCTGAAAAGGATGGAAAATTAGCCCTTAAGTGGTGAAACCACAAATATAGCCACCCAATATACAACCTCATACACTATGAGCAAGTTTCAAACATAAATAAATGAACTCCAATGTTTTTTTCTCAAGCATTCAGAGAAGTCACTATGATGTTTTAACTACTGGTTTATGTCAATTTTGACATCCTTATTTCTATTATCTAATGTGACCACAATGTTTGTAACTATTGGTTCATGTCAATTTTGGCATCCTTATTTCTATTATGTATAAAATGCTTCACCAATCACCCCATGGAATGTCAGCCTCAGGCTATTTCATGACTTCATTATGATTTTAACATTGAGAAGGTTGAATAATCACAATTCAAATCTGTTTCATGTCTCCTTGAACACATGTATATTATATTGTAGCACTACACAGCCAGCAGGAACATAGAGCATGGCACTTACCATTCTTGTTTTTTACAGATGTCTGGGTACTCAATTAGAGTATAAATGTGGTGAGCAAAAACATAGAGGGCTAAATAAACATTTCGCAGCATCTAAATAGTCATACCGTATGTTTTCTTTCATTGGAAATAGAGAAAATAAGAAGTTAAAAGCATAGGAAGAAATGCAAACAGGGACAAAAAGGCGTGTTTTTTTATGTGGGGGGGGGTAGCTAAGTAACAACACTTAAAGTTTTCTTCCATTGGAAATAAACTTAAGAATTGAAAAACTATGTAACTGAGGTTCTGGTGTAAGTGTTGGACATGGGTATGTGTCCAACGTGAGTGTGTAAAATTTTTCATGTATTTGGGGGGTCCTTAGAAGACCAGATCCCCATACCCACGTCCAAATATATGTTAAAAATGGGCATTAGACATGGGTGCATCAGAAAAAATGGAGCCAAAGTAACACAGGTGAAAAGCCTATGCTAAAATGGGGGTGGGGGGTTTGAAATCACAAGTGCAAAGTGGTTGGCTCCACACAGACAGTTAAGAAACACATATCATCAAAACATTGTGTATGGTCATTGGCCAATAATAAAATGCTAACAAGTAATCATGTTGATTTGTTGCAAGACAGATTTTACTAATCAAAACAAGAACCCCATCTCTATCATGCATGTTCTGTGAACATGTACGTTAAATCCTCCAACAGAAATAAGAAAATAGCAATAGCATCTCAGTCAAATATAAGAAATCCAAGATGATTAATCAATTGAACTTGCTCATGAGCAATATATTCAAGTAAGTTAAGCAACCTCCAATTTAAATGAATTCTTTCACAAATCACGAAGACCTTTTAAGTCACCCAGCTTAACAAAGGCCAAACATGCAAAAAGATATCAGCTGACATTCAAAAGTAAGAACTAGGTTTTCCTTAGCATGAACGGTGGGAAGGGTAAGGACTGAAGAATTGTTAATTTGACAATTAAATTTCATATGTACTTATTGTAACTTAACCATTGGATTAACAGTTTTCTTTTATCCTAGACCCTTTCATCCTTCGTCCCGAGCAACACTTGAAAGTTATTTTCTTAGTTTATAAATTATAATACAATATCACTAAAGGAAAGGAGGAAAGGTAGGTAATAAGATCTTACACTTGTGTTATCTGCCGGCTTTCGTGATTTCCTCTAAGAATTGTGATTCTGTCTCTATAACGGACTTTCAGTGCAACCAAAAGTGTGACAGTCTCCACTGAGTAGTATCCACGATCTGCACATGCACAGCTAAGGTTAAGAGAAAATCCCATCCCATTCCATTCATAAATATACATTTGCAAACAGCAGCGACTATTTGATTAATAGGCAATATAAAATGAACTGATTGCTACCCACGTCCCATTCCCTTTACCATCTAAAAGTCTTATAGACTAGGTAGCTACAACTATACGTATATAATAATTGACACACATAATGGCTACTATTTCTAATACATAGGAAATGTTCCCTGATAAACTACACACGCCCAAACTTGAAGAGGAATTTGGTCTAAGAGTACAAATCCTACCTCAGAGGTAAGAAACTAATTGAGCAGAGTCCCCAACAGTTTATACCTAGTTGGTCAAGCTCAAATAGCATACCTACCCCATATTCTTAGCAGTTATAAGTTACAACATCGAAGGAGAAATACTAAAATTCCCCCCTCCTCCCCCTCAAAATATGACAGAAGCTATCACTATTATGCTTTTATATAATTTTAGTCTTGTTTATTAAGTATTAGACATGTGGATGGGTGGTTAGGATGATAAGTTATCTAGAGTATTGATTTAGGAATTAGGATTAGGATTATAGTTTTATTTGCAACCCTAGTATAAAGGTGTAAAATAGATTTACAGCAACCTTAATTTATTTTTTCTAATTAATAGATTTCAAATACAATACGTTTATCTAACCTTATGTTTTCAAAAGTTACAACTTCTATTACTCATTTCAGCCCTAGTTCTATGGATTTCCTGCTGTTTTCTTCCTAAGCCACCCAATAACCGATCATAAAACCAATTGATTTGATACAACGTAAATATAATCCACCATTTTATCAACATAAGAATATAACCGATAACCTAAATAGTGCCTCTTAGTTTTATAGGCAATCAAGTTAAGTTCATACCTTGAGCCGATCATATACAATTCCATCAATTAACCCACGCAATAAATTTAACATAGAAATTAATATATAAAAATTAAAAAGAAAGAGCTACAGGAACAAAAAAAACTCACCAAATATTCTTCAGAAAATTAAAAGAAAAGATGGAAGGATAAGGAAAAGAATCATATAAAGAAGTGACAAGCTTACCTACATAATCTCCCATGAAGAGATAATTCGTATCAGGCGCATTCCCTCCTATCCGAAACAGCTCTATTAGATCGTAAAACTGTCCGTGAATATCTCCACATACCGTCACCGGACACTTCACCGGCTGCACGTTCCATTCCTCCACTAGTATCGCCCGTGCCTGCTCGCATAACGCCTTCACCTCCGCCTCAGACAGCGGTTTACACTCCATCAGGTGCTCGATCTGATGATCCAGGTCTCCCTGTGACGGCATCCTCTCTCCCCCACCGTACGATCACCTGATTCCCTCCTTCCCCCTTCACTAATGACCGTACAATCGTGGAAATAGAAGCCGGTCGGATCCGTTGATTTGATCCGTGAAGCGTCACGGGTTACCGATTTGGATCGTAGCGCTGTTTAGCGATGAAAATGATAAAAGATATGAATAAGAGAGAGAGAGAGAGCTGAAATGAAATTCAAATGCAAACAGCAAATGAAAGGGTAAAACTTGGCCCTTTTCTAATGTATTTTTTCGGTTTGTTGAAATTTGAAAAGGATAAATTAAGTTTTAGTTCCTAAACTTGATAAATTTTATCAAATTTGTCCCTGAAATTATTTGGTCCAACATTATCTTTGATTTTTTGAGTATTTTGATGTTGTGTCACTCTCAAATTATACCATACAAATTAATCTCATAGTTTTACATCATCAAAATGACTAAAAATAGAAAAAAAGAAGTTGAATTCAAGACTAATGTGGAAAATTAGGGACCAAATTAAGAAAGTTACTAAAGTTGGAACTAAAAGTTACTTTACCCCAATTTGAAATCTTTCAATTTTGCAATAATTGAAATCAATAATTCCAAAGTATTTGTTGTGGTGAGTGATCTTCAGACATTCCCGGGTGGCTCTGCCGAGTCAAAATCCATAGTAAACAACACGTGTCCCTTGCAGCCTCATTCTTTGAACTCATTCAGTTTACTTATTGGGCCTTCTAGGTTGGCAATTTTTGCAATTGGGACCCCCATTTTAATTTTCTTTATTGTTATCTTTTTTAGAATATTCTTTGGTCAAAGAATGCATATCCAAAAAAGTAAAAAAAATAGTGGAAAAGATAATATTAGGTCAAGTAATTTTTTAATCTTACATTTAGAATTATTATTTCAAGAAAGATATTTAATTATTTCATATTTCTAAAATTTGAATAATTAAAATAAAAAATATTAAATCATTTTAATCATTAAATTTTACCTTTAAATTTTTATTTTAGAACAGATAAAGATTGACCGAAACCTATCTTAATATTTAATGTTCATCAAGATTAAAATATTGTTAAAATTAATGGCTAATTATTTTTTTATTTTTAAATATGATTTTAAATAAATACTCGTCCAGCTCAGTCGGTATAGCACAAGGCTCTTAACCTTGTGGTCGTGGGATCGAGTCTCACGGAGGGCATTTCATAATTCGGAGGTCTCTCACGGAAACTGCTCTCAACCTGACGTTGGAGGCAACCTACTATCATATCTCCCTCTTATCCCATTACATATGGGAAAAAGAGTATGCTATTTATTTCTTTTAAATATGATTTCAAATCAATAAAACTTTCAAAAAGTTAAATACTTTGTTGATAATTAATATTTTAGATTCAGACAATGGGGGATTTTCATAACATATATGATAATGAAGGATTTCATACAATTATAATTATAAATAAATAAATAACAAGCTTTGGAGAATTTTTCAAGAAGAATGCACAAAGTCTAAGAGCAACTCCAGCGCTGCGCTAGAGTCGAGTTAAATCTCCAATATGAGACTCCAGTCATGTGCTAATTTCATCTATACTTTAAAGATCGCTACAGTATCACGTTATATCTAACGTGTTACTGTAGCAATGCTACAAAAAATTATGATTAAAATATATAATTAAACATAATATTTTTTGTATTATTATAATATATTATATTAAACTAGATTAATTATGACATAATATATAATTAAATATATTATAATTAAACATAATATTTTTCGCTTTATTATAATATAATTAAATATATAAATAAAAATTAAACATAATATAATATATTAAAGTAGATTAAAATATATAATTATGTAACTTATGTTTTTCGCATTATTATTATTAATTGTAATTTTCTTATTATTTATATTTTCGTAATGTTATTTATGAATGTTTTATTTATGTTTTTTATCTTGAAATTTGTTAGAAATGTATATGTTTTATTTTATATTTGTAAAATCAATATTATAATAATTAAATATTGTGAATAAAATAGAGTTAGTAGTAATGTAGAGATAGTGCTGAGATGAATTATTGTTTTATTTCTAGAGTAAAGATAGATATGCTGTAGAGTAGAGATGAGGGGAGATAAAGTTTATCTAAAATTGGCCTCCTTGAGTGACTTCAAAACTTCTTTGGAAGCCAGTTTCTTTGCCATCTTCTTATCCGAAGCTGTTGATGTGTGCTTGAACACCCTGCCATTCGCTTCGACCTCGACCGTAATAGAAGAAATGCCGTTGTCGCTTGAAATGACGGCGTTTCTCAGTTCATATTGTTCCTTTTGACATAGTTCATGCAACTCTTTCACAGGGTGAACCGTCATTGTTTCTGGAGTAATCATGGGCTCCAACGGCGGCCTTATACTCCGGAATACGGCTTCCTTGTTGTATCCTGAATCGACAAATATGGCCCGGCAAGCGACTCCATCACATCCCCCAGTACCTGCCAAAGATTAAGAATAACATTTTAGATCAAATACAGAAACATTCAAAAGAGTTTACAACGATGATTTGTGTTAACTGTAAATGTAATCTAATACAACACACCTTGGGGAAAGATTTTAAAATTCAAAACTGTACATGGATTAACGATAAAAACAAACTATTGTAACTCAACTTTTTCCGATGCTAATCCAACAAGGACCAATAGTATTTTTGTAGGTCGAGTAACAGTAATTTTTCAACCCGAAGTTTTACATCATATAGAAGCATGTTCCTCCTTTTGCCTAATTGAATTTACCCTACTTTTTGCTTTGCTTCTCAAACACAAAATAAGTCTGTGAAATCAAAAGGTTGAATTTACGTGGAGAGAGAAGCCTCTGTTCAACTGTTTTGCTTTGATGGGCACGAATCTCATGCTCATGCAAGTTTGAATAGACCCAAACAGTCCTCAAATGCATAAAGAGAAAGAGACTAACACTCAAGTTGCATGCAAAACAACTTTTCCTTTTTGGAGATTCAACACCTCTAATTGGTGGGTTCATTTTAATTTTGTAACACCCTAAACCCTTTCTAGAATTTAACTCGTATATATTCGAGAAAATTAATCTGTTAGTGGCATAAATGAGTAGTGATTCAGACTCTTTATTGACATCTTAAAGATCAAAGTTCGAACTCTGGAACCATTGCTTGCACAAACCGGTCCCGTATAGATTTTGGGTACATGTCCCCTCATGCATGCATATTTGCTATGAACATATTTTCCCACCTCCAAATCCCATCAACTGTTCCTCGATACTAGTCTCCCTCTCCCTCTCCCTCGTATAAATGCATAGAGGATCCATTTAAATCTAGTATATTTTTAGGATCGTTGGATTAGTTTAAATAAACAATTGAAATTATTTCTTTATCTTTTTAAATATATTCTTATTTCAACGGTTTAATTTCACCCATCCAATAATCATGTTTCCTCTCTCTATATACGAAAGATGTAAGACACTTAAAAAGTTGATACAAAGGCTCTCCGAGATGCTTTTGATGAGAATATAATTTGATAATATGAAACAAACTTCCATTTGTTAACTCAGCGAAGAACTACACAAGCATGCATTGCAAGCTTAAATATTGGATATTTGATTTTTCCCAATCACATACTTTGATACCAAGGCTAGGCTTGTCTCGGCGGTCGTCCCGAGTTGCCGGCTCGCCTGTTGAAAATCGTAAAAAAGGATAAAGAAGAAAGAAAGAAGGGCACCATGAAATAATTAATTACAGGCTTTGTAAATGCTTAGATTCTAATGGTAATTAGCATTGGATAAACAAGATTAAGTGATGGAATAAAGTGAATGTCGGAGATTAAAACATTCAGGACAACATGTACATCAAGCTCAATGTCACAGTCGAGTATATTGTTTTTTCCACGAAAATCATGCTTGTTATTCAAATAAATTGTCAAAAATATTTAAGAAATCTATTTTACAATTCATATTCGAGGTGATGACTATCTGTTTTAATAATATTGTCTTTGAAATTTGAACTTAAGATCTTCATCCGTATACATATAATTTAGTAGAAATAATAGTTAAATATGATTAGAATATTTAACCTGTTATGAATAGGTTCGGGTCCATTAGGAACTCTTCTTTTGCCCATGTAGTTAAGATCCTGCTCGGGATGCACCACACTCGACTTTCCTTTGCGTAATACCTTCACTTGCTGCTGCTCTTCCTGACGCAGTTTTGCCGTCGATGTCGACGTCCAAGGCCGATGATCACCACCTGTTATTATATTTGTCTAGTGTCCTTCCTTTTGTAGGACCCCAAATGATATAACTAAGACAAACCCCAAAACTACAAGTGTCAGCTCCGCCCATTAGTGGATGCTTTATAAGAGAAGGAGGGCAGTTTTTTACTTTGAAGGAGGGGGGGGGGATTCTTTATAGAGTGGGAAATTGAGTTGATTCCATGTTTACTTTCTCCAAGATTTCCAACGTTAGCTTTGCTTTGAGTTTTGGTATTTTCATGCACTACATCATTCATAAAATGACCAAACACTTCCATGCCTTGCGTCCATATATACACATAATACGGGTCTCTATGGTTTGGTATGTTCGGTTTTGGTTAGATTTTTACACAATATTAATGTATTTTATGATTTTTTTTAAATATAAATCGACGCTGTTCGTTTCATTAAAAAAAAGAAAAATATCCAACATTATAATGAATGAATTAAACATATAACCAAGACATTTTCTGTAACTATGGGCACAAAAAAATATTAGTCACTTGAGATCATATAAGGAAAATGTTAAAAATAAATTTAAAAAACTCAAAAAAAAATAGAGATACGAATAAATCTTACTGTATCGGCTAACGATCCACAACGGGATCAAACTGCTGAAAGACCACCGATAATCGTAAATCAGAGTCGAGCATCATGAGAAAACTATCCATGAATGCAAATCGTATATCAAAATCCAATCCGATGGTCCAAAGCATAGAAGATCAACATGATATCAAATAAATCTCATTTTGACCAATTGAGACGATGTCAAATTCAACCCTAAAAAAAATTAAACAAAGAGAACAACCAAAAGATTGATAAAAAAGATTGAAAACATACCATAAAACTAGTTTTTTTAAAATATTTTGAGGTGATTACAAAATAATATTTATTCATAATATTTTTTAACCATATGACAACACACATCTAACAAATGCAACTACTTAAACCTAAGACCTTAAAGGAGAACAAAATTTCTTTTAAA